GGTTCAGGATTTTTTTTTTTTTAGGTCAGTTCAAATTTTCTTTTTTTTTTGTAAGTTGGGTTCAGATTCTTTTTTTTTGTAGGTTGTTTCAGTTTTGTTACTTCAGAGTCTTCTTTTTTTGTAAGTCAGTTTTGGATTTATTTTGTTGTTTTGGTTTCTTTTTCATAATTCTTTTCTTTTATGTAGGTCAGACATTCTGGAGTTCTTTTTCTTTTTTTATAGGAATGCTGACCTTTGGTGACTTGGATGTTTGCAGATACTATATGAGGGGTGAGTTTTGTTTCCAATTAAGTTAAACATTCTTATGTTTCTTTCTTTTTTATTTTTTTAGGTTGTGAACTTATAGATAATTTTGGTTGCAATAGGTGGTTTTAATAAGGAGGGAATTTTTATAATGTAATTGTATTTTGTTTATTTTTTATTTTTTATTTAATTTAATAAAGTAAAATTAGATTTATGTGACCAAATCGTATAAATTTTGTGATAAAATCAGTGATCAAATCATGTAAATTCCATATGAATCCCGTGCAAATTCCATATCCAAACCATATTTTTAGTGATACGGAATTGTGCATTTTCCGTATCCTATTATGATACGTTATTTCTAAGGAAAAAAATCGTATAAAAACTTTATAAAAAACGTATCCAATTTTTTTATAGGGCTGGATAGAATTAAAATGTTTAAATAGTGAAATTAAAAGAAATTGGAGATTTTTTCATAAAAAGAGGGGAGAAATTATACATGGCCTGCGTTATACGATATATTTTTGTCCTATTTATTAAATCTCCAGATAACGTACGGAAATTTTTGTTTGATCAAAATATGTTGAAATTATTATTAAAAAAAAAATTGTGATTTCTAATACAGAAAATGTCCGGAATATATATGGAAACTTTTTTTTCAAAAATTTCTTTGGAAGGAATGTGTCCGAGGTACATATATAGAAATTTATTAAAAAATATTTTTGAATTTTTCAAATTAAATAAGTCATGTTCCAATTCTTTTTTTAATGTTAGCATTTTTTAAATAAAATAAAATAAATAAAATTAATTTGATATTAATTTGATGATGTAGTAGAATAATATATAATAAAATTTTATGAAAAATTTTGTACTTTGATGACGTACGTGCAGTTTTAGTGAAATAAGAAGCTAACTACCAACCGTGAGTTATAAGATATTTTGCAGTTTCATATAATAATATTTTAAATACTTTTATTTACTGTAATTAATTAATTTTGAAATTTATTATAAAGAATTTATTATTTTTCAACAAACTTTAGTATTTCTCAAAGTAAAACAATTAAAAGCTTTTATCCAGTATCATAATTTTGTGAAATTTGGCTCTATTATTATCATATATTGGATGTATTTTTTTTCGTTTTTTTTTATAAATGAAATTGTGAAATTCTTCTTTAAATAGATCTAAAATTGGAATTAAAAGAATGGTTTTATCAAAGAAAAAGGATTTGAATGATATTTAAATAGAATTTTAGATTGTAATAGTTTTAAAATCAATCAAACAAATTTTATGCTATCTATTATTTTTAATGTAAAATTAAGTATATCTTTTGTCAACGACTGTGTGAAAATACAACTTTTTTAATTAATGCAGTCAAACTAAAGTTCTGAGACAACTGAATATCATATGATGTACGGCATGTTATTCTTCGACATCTAAATCCACACAATTAGTATTATTTTCAGAGTCAACTATACTTTTATCAGTAAATGACTATTCTGTTTAGTAATACAAATAATCACGTGATTTGTGCTTCGAGTGCAAAACTATTTTTACAAAAATAAGTTAAATATATGCACAGACTGTCTACATTATACATGCATTAAATTCTACTTTATTTATCACAACCTAACTCTAAATTTAGCAATCATTAATTTATTCATATATATATATAAATGCGTATTAAAAATTGCTGTTTATAAAATATTGCATATTTTGAAATGAATTCGATTATCACGCCATATTTTTATTATTATGCCATATTTTTATGGAAAAATAAATTTAACGAATAAATTTATTATCCAAAATAATAAAAATTAAAAAACCGGGGAACGAAATCATGCATAAATACCCGGATAAAATAAATAAATTGTCATACATCACACACACACAAAAAGGAGGTTTTAGGACCCGAGTAATACATAGATAGTAGGTAATAACTCATTTACTATTAACTATACGCATCTCTTCAGGGTCAGAATTACATGACATTATCCAAAAAAAAGAAAGGTTTTGTGTATTGCAAAATAATCACTCAAATATAAACCTATCAACTTTTCTTGTACTATTCAAAAAGTATTGTATTAGGATAATATAAATTTATAAAAATGCAACAAAGAAAGATATTTCTATTTCATGCCCTATAAAAAAATTCTGGAAAAACTCTGATAAATAAAATTATTTTTCTAGTTTTTATTCCGAAGAAACTCAGACACGTGATCATTTTTCTGAAAAATTTTTTATAGGGATAATATATTATTGTACGATGCTTAATAATGATATGATGATGTGTGCACGAAGTGGCATAACACCCGTCAACCCGTAGAGCATCATATTGATTAGCGACAAACTTTTTATTAACTTTTTGTAAGCTTTATATTCAGATTTTAATATTAAATTATTATAACTAATTGATTTACACCATGTAATATAAATTAGATTTTTATAAATTATATTTAGTGTATAATATATAATTCTTGAACGAAATTATTTATTTTTTTAATTATCACTGATCATGGTATAATTTTTAAAAGAAACTATTTGACACACAATTAAATCATTATAAGCACTGTATAAATATTGGAGAGCGCATAATAAAAAATTTTATTGAACACAAAGTATTTAACTGATTATGAACGTTTTATTATTAAGATACTACGAAAACATATCTATCTACTATTTTGATAATTAAAAAAAATTATAGGAATAGGAAGAAACTACATACAGTATATATACTATAATATTTTTTTTTTTAAAAAAAAAGAATATTATTAGAATTCGTAAATTTTTTATATTTTTTTTAAGCATATTTAATTAAAGCTTCAGAAAATTTCTTTCCTTTATGATTAACAAAAAAGGTACCGCCAACAAGATCACAAATGTGAAAACCTTCATAAACTTTTTGAAAAGGTGAAGTACCACCAGCTGGAAAAATTTTGACACTTTTTATAAAGTCTTTAGTATAATCAATCTTCTTTCTATCCTTGGTTATTACAAAAAATTCATAATTTTGAATATTCGTATCTTTTTCGAAACCTCTAGTAAATGATCCAGTTAAACGATAAGAACCAACATCTATGAAGGTGCTTTCACCTGAAATCCCATTATTAAAGTCAGCGATAGCGGTGGCTTCTCGTTTATTCAATGGAGCTGTTTGAGTTGATCCAATAAAGATCATACAAAACAAGGCGACCGTGGCCAAAAGGAGCAATTTTCTTGAGATCATTTTGATTTTTGAAAAATTGTTGAATAAAATTAATTTATAATTAATAATTATCGTTATAATAGAATTATTTTTTTTTTTTGGTTAGGGAAGTGAAGCAAATTGTCGCTTCTTTTATATTTGTCAAGAATCATTAATTTACCATCATCTTATCAAGATAAAATTTATTAAATATAAGTCTTACTTAATTTAGGAAAAAATAATTAATTAAAAAATATAATATATATATTTCAGGAAAAAATAAATTGCTCATTTAAAGTTCATTCTATAATTAAAAATAGAATACGTGCATGAATGCATCATGCATGCTTATTTATTTCGATTGAAGTCTTCCAATTATGGTTCTTTAGGATTTTTTTTTTTACATTGTTTGTGCATAAAAATTTGTCATATACATATGAATTCGTTCTTTGAAATGTATACATTTTTTTTATCCGATCGCTTGCTATTGTAACAATCGCAAAATATTAATACCCCTTTCCTTTTCTCTATTAATTACTAGTACAAATCGACACTATTTATAGAAAATTAAATAAAAAATTTTCTTAATTTATACAATCATCATTGCGAAATGAACAATAGAATTATTGTCCGAAGCATTACCGAAAATGTATGTCTGTCTACCCAATCAGGATGTGTAACCATTTTTATAGTTTAAAGTTTAAATGATCGATCGAATTTAATTTTAATAAATAGTTTATATTAGTGGATCGAAAACGTAAAAGCAGGGAGAAAGAAACTTATAAACGTAAGAAAAGAAATACAGAATAGCGTAAAAATTTATCTAATCAAAATGATTGGAGACCCAACCCCAGGAAATTGGTTTCTATTTTCATGTGATAACTAAAAGTTATTTCTTCATCAGAATTTTCGTTAATACTGTTCTGGTAATTTTGAAAAGAAGCAATGCCTTGCAGTTCGGAAGGAATTGTTACTGCCCCCTATTTTGATTTGCCAACCTACAGTATTTATGCATTCTCATGCATCCACCAAGGAATTATGTAAAAAGAAATTTCAATATTCTCGGGAAATTAAAAAGCTGACGAATTATGTTACACCAGTGTCGTACGTAAAATCTCTTGCATTGGTAGTTTTTTGTCATGTGATACGTACTAACGTATACAGTGAATTTGGGCTTTTTTTGTGTCATTTCCTTTTACACTCTTGTGATACAGCTGTTTTTCTAGCATCTACTATGGGATACTCATTCAACAGTTTTTAGTGGACCTATTTGTTCCTAAAGTACGATACAATGAAAATATCATCCTTCGGTCCCTAATGAAATCTGCGAAACTAGATGCTGTCATATTAATTCACTATTTGACCCACTTGAAACTCACGACACCAACATGTTTTCTCTTGCTACCTTTTCATGTTATCATCGTTGAGTTGCATAACAACAAGACATATTATATTTTTGACTTTACTATGTTCTAACAAGTAGAAATAAAAATGATTAGTTGTACATGACCGAAAATAAGGGTCACATTACCCGGATATTTCATGAAACACAAAACACAAAGTACGATTTGTATATATGATTATATGTCATAAGGTCATGTGTATGCGTCATCTGTAAGCAATATCAAAATATTTTAACCAAATTTACATAACAGCATCAGTTGAATATCAATGTTACGCTATGTCACATTCACCGTATATTAACGTCTTCTTTTAGAATTATATTTCTTTAAACAATTCCATTTTGTTAAAACCTTTCGATCGGTTCATCAAAAAGACAGACAAAATGGTTTTTGAAGGTAAAGTTCGTCTCATAATTTTGTGAATTGAAAATATTTAAAGAATGTAATTTTAACATTCTTTTTTTTTCTTTTTAGTAGGAAAATAACATTGCTTCCGGAATAGTTTTTTTTAAAGATCATAAAGTTCAGATTGACGAAGTTGAATTTTTGGAATTATTAAAGAATATAATTAACGAGAACGGGCTTCTTAGGCACTTTAGCAAATCTTGTTCAAGGAAAGTTATGGAAATGTAATTTTAGTTTAATTTTTATTTTTTTTATTACATTCTTTATTATAATAATATTTAATATTCAATAGAAATGTTTAATATAAAATTTTCCTTTTTTGTTGTATTTTGGCTTTGTAATGAAAGGCAAAGGACAATACGAATCCTGTTCAGATGGATCTTGAATATGTTGTCGTACCTTTTCATAAAGGTACCATTTTCGTTCTGGTGTTATTCCTTTAGGTATTATTATTTCTTTGGGAATGATGAATAAGTTACTCCGTGTCCTTTTTAGTCAAATTTATTGGTTGAAATCCTTCTTTTACTGCTGTTTTAATTTCTACATAACTCAATATAAAACGGTTTTGCTTTTTATTAATTTATGAAACAGTCGGCATTAACACAATTAATCGAACAAGCAAAACAGAAGAAAAAGGACAAAGTATGTTTAGTAGCAGGGCATACTAAATTCACACCTAATGGATTCTTTGGGTTATTTAAATTAAAGCTGCGACATTCTAGAAGCGGATGTTACATGAGATTTAGTCAATGTTGTTAAAGATAGAATCAACTCCTGGTGGATTCAACAGTAATGGCAATGGGATGTTTTTAATGGTTGGCGAACATCCTAATTAAAACATGTTTTGCTGATTTGAGCAGTTTTGAGTCTTTTTTAAATGCTTCAATATCTTGTTATGCTGATTTTTTATCAAACTACTTCTGAGCTTCAGACATTTCACTTTCTTCATAGTTCAATGAATCTTTGCTCCAAATTTATAAAATTCTTCAATTTGAGTATTAGTGATAATTTGATTGAGCTGCATTATCGTCTATAGGTTGTATATTTTTTTATAATCTTTATCAGTAATACTTATCATCATAATCAGTATTAAATTTATATTCTATCAATAAAAAGATTTCGAAACAATTTTTTTTTGTTTTTATGTGCGTTAATTGAAAAAAAAAAATTTAGTAGCTACTAATCTTAACCTGAATACTCATAGAAAGAATTTTGAGAGAAACCCTATTTTTGTTTAATTAGTGATTAAGAGACAAGAATTTTTAAAAGGAAACACATTCTTTATTTTACAAGAGTTTAAATAATGACGAGATTAAAAAAGAAATGATAAGAACGCCCATCCTGTTTCAAAAGTTTTAACCATTTATAAATAGTTAAACGCGCCAGTTTAAAAAGTATTTGATTTTATTAAAAACAAAATCAGATTATTTAGTAGACAATAAACAATTTATTAATTTATTAAAGATATTAACATTAATCAAATAATTTTTTATTTAACATAATAATATCGAAAGTACAGTACTCAAAACATATGAAAATAACTCATCAAGTAGAAGCTTTACAATATTTAATTATTAGAGATATTATTGTTAAAATTCCAAATACTATGATTTAAATTATTGCTCCTGTTAATAAAAGTGAGAGGTGGCGTGACTAACGTTTAGATTAGCCTGTATGAATTGCTGATCCATATTCTTTATAGTTAAGACCTGCTTTATCGGAAAGTCATGTTGTACATCTAATCCAATTCTGGTTAATGAAATTTTAATCTTTTTTTTTTATTTTCATTTTTTTAACCCATCTTTTTTTAATTTTAATTTTTACAAATGGTTCTTTTTTTAAAAAAAATTTCCTTTTTTCTCTTTCGAAACACCTTTTTCTTTTCCTTTCTTTTCTTTTTTTAAAATTTTTCGTTTTTTTCCTTTTTCCTTTTTTTT